TACACTGCACATTCAGAACAGACATGATGTACAGCGACATGTACACGTAAGCAGCTAGTTTAGCGACAAGTTACTAGGTCCTACACTGCACATGCCTTTACTGATGTGTTTTATGTGTGACATCATCTACATCAAGTGGCATGTCACACTTGAATGTGATTACACTCACACTGTTCCAGTGCAAACCCAAAATTGATCATTCTAATATCTGCTCATATGTCTGTTTCATTCAATCATAATCAATGCATACATACGTTCATTTTGCATCATACAACCACATGAAAGAATTGACACCTTGTAGCACTATGCACACGGCAAGTGTATGAGAAATTCTGAGATGAAGCCATCATGCTTAGAAATGATAAAATAGATTGCTGGTTTAGAGGTGTAAGCGCAAGAGAGATAAATTTAGCATTGGATGAAAATGCCTGGATTTGATGGAAATAAACATCTGTTTTGCCATTAATTAAAAATGAATACATGTACATGTTTATCTATAACAGCTGATTCTGAAGAATTACATGCACCTTAAAGGTTACAGAATCCTTTTACCCACAAAGCTTCTTGTCAATGTGGGAGGGGGAGGTGTTCTTGAATCACTGATAATAACCCAATAAAGAGCAGGATTGGAAGGAGGACAAAGGGAATCCTTCCCCCAACCTTCCAGTACACTTTCACCGATGTCAGCACAATTCATTTTTTAAAAAGTCATTCCAGGGGATCCATTCTTGCGAGACCGCTGTCCCAAAAATGTTATCTTCTCCAACTCACTAAGAAATATACTCATAACAAATTTTTTTTTATATACGCATATGAAATTTCAAAAAGATTGAGACAGCCAAGATCCTGCCCCCGTGAGAAGGTTAAATAAACCCAGCCTTTTCAGGGTTGGAAATGTGCACATCACAGTCTTAAGTTTGCATTTTATGTTGATTTTGTTTTGAGTAAATACTCTGAAAATATGGATAGGTAAATCAAACAAGTGCCGCACAGGAACAACTTCAAACAATGAAAAATGAGCTTGGAAATTCTCATAATGTAATTGAAATAAGATAAACCAAGTGATGGGTGCTAGCTAGGTGATAACATGTGTTTGCAAGAAAAAATTAATTCAATTTATAATTTTGAACTCAAAAACCAGAATCCGACACTTGTGCAAGTAATCTTCTCCATTAATCATGGTAAAATAAAAACCAAAGGAAAGAGAGGAAATAAACCACTTGTTAAGGTATTTAGGCTTGTATTTAGGCCAAGGAGCAAAAATATCCAGGTATTCTATGAACCAGGTACTCGAAAGTTCATCAGGAGAGGTCAGCTGGGTTTGCAAATCTGAGGATAAAATGTCACTAACAGGATGTGTTTTCCTTTGGTAAATAAAATCAAATATTCTTATGTGTGAGTTGCAATGTCTCTTTCAAGTCTTGAGGTCACAACAGCGATGAACTGATGGATTGGTTAACAAATACCGGTACAGTTCCATAAAATACAAGCGACAGAAATTAAATAAAAACTTTTGAATTGGTTTGAAACTTGTTGATCCATCTGCTCTTGTCTATTTGTGACATGTGCCATTCTTCAATCAGCCATCAAGTAAAAAGATGAAATATCTCAGTCAGCCAAAGTTAAGAAAAAGCATGGCAGTAATAGTTATGCTTGCACTTTTTGTGGCCATGTATCAAGTATCAAGTGATGGAATGCTGCTTATTTGGCCATTGGGACCCTAATGCAATCTTTTGATAATGGGTCCAAAATCTAATTTCACAAAGGTGAAAGAGCAGATGAATAGCTCCATGGCAAATGAGCTTGAGAGAATAGAGAGGGATGAGCTACAGTATGATTGGTGATGACCAATCAGGGCAAGATGGCATACTGGAACCGTTACCATGAGGTAACCGGTAACCATGGCAGCGCAATCTCAACACTGGCAGAAGAGAAGCTGAACAGTGGAAAGCCTCGCCACATTCATGCAAAAAATGAGAGTACATGCTGAAAATGCACCCATCAATCACTGTAATCACTGCAACGAAGTACCGTAAATAGTTAGTGCTCCACCGCAGCCCTGAGCATTGCTATCACAAATGAGGCTTAGCAAAAGTTTCACACTTTCGGTAAATGGTGTGCTGGGCTATATACTGTGCATGAAATTTGTGTACATACATTGTACATGTACATGGAACTGGCACAGTTTGAAACCAGAATTGAAGCCTGCAAGCTTTATATACACAATGATATAATACCATGAATGGCAGCTCCAACTATGTGGCCTTGAACTGATGCCTCAGCTCCTTCAATGATTCCATTAAAGACAAACAAAAAAGGAAAGACTTCCATCAACTACTGGGCAACCAGGCCAAGCATGAATGAAATCACAGGAATTTCTCTATCTCTTTTAGGAATTTAGCTTGACAATGTGTTTTCTTGACTTTTGAGAGATCAGGATTAAGATGTGTGAACTCATTTTAAGAGCAATGCATAGTAAGTAACTGTATTAATCATGTACAGCCCAGTTCAGGTACAAATATACTATATTGGTAACCACACAAACCTGATGCAACAGTTCATTCAGTATTATGACATTTACAACCAATGACCTTACCAAGTTGCTATCATACCATTTTCAGTTATGTGTGCCTGATATGGTATGTCAACTACCAGCTTTAATTGGCTCCAGCTTTGATTACCACTTGTACCAGTACATTAAACCCACAAAAGCTACGCTGCCAAGTAACTGGGTCATTCCAGAAACTAGGGGTCCAAATGTGTGACATTTTTGTGTCCCTGTTACATCTGACCTTTGTTATTTGACATGGAAATATCATCAGAATATCACCCGAGCATGCTTGCGTTTTTTTTTCACAAGCCTTCGGGGTATACACTGAGTATACAGCATTAATTAAAATACACATCGGGAAGGGCAAAAATCCAAAATTAATTTACATCTCCCCGGTTAAAATCCATCCTTGAAATACCAGTAGTTGTTCGTGGTACCCGAAAATCAGAATAGTTTTCAAACTATTACCAGTTGTTTGGAAGTTAATTTGCATTAATTCATCACTCTTTGGAAATTGGAAAATCTGTTCTGAACTTACAAAATCATATGTGGGATTTAACAGGGATACACAAAAAATGAACCCTTAATTTCTGGAATTACCCAATTCTCAAAAGAGTTAGTGCCGCCTGTCCCTTTGTAAATTGTATGAATCCTGTCAACTTCATCTGATTTGGGTGCCACGACACCTCTGACAAAATCGGACAGCTGTTCAAGACATACAACATATCAAATGTTCACAGTCTATCAAGTTAACTTACAATGTACAATGGACAAAACAGACCTCATGAAATGGACAGATCCTTTTTTTACATCAGTGAGACATGGATGTTGTGCATCACTCCAATAACTTGATTGTGGTACAAATTTCAAGTATGCCTAGTAATTCCAACTCATGTTGAAAAAAGCAATCTCGCCCCCTCCATGAACAATAACTCAAAATGTGGTATCAGTACATACATGCAATTCCTGCTGAATTACTCACACTATAGTTTGTGAAAAGGCCAAAGATAATGTACCGTAACTAAACACTGCGGATGCAATTTTTTAAACTTCCAAGGAATGATGCAAAATGTGAAACATCTCCCACAAATATCATAGTACATGTGTAAACTTTGACATGTTAAGAAAAGCACACTATGTACTGACACTGCATTAAGACACGCTAGTATCACAAGATATCACGCAGTGTACATGTATCTTTGAGGAAATTGCCTGGGTGCTTCAGACAGCCAAATAAAATACATGTACATGTACATGTAGATAACAGGGAGTAATCTACATGTACCTTTGGTGTTTTGGAAATTCAGTGTCACTTTTCAACATGTACCAGTATATTGAGAGACGACTAACTTATATAAAAAAAAGTCATATGTGCGTAACTGTTACCGATTCTTTGTACCGGCACTTTGAATCTTCGAAGCCTTCACTTTCACAGTTGGACAGTGTTGTATTCGAGTCCCTTCACAAGGCTAGTCATAAGTAACAGGGTGAACAATGACAAAGAATGCTTTT